AGATATTCCTTTTCATTTTATATTCTGGGGAGGGTTTTTTGTTACTATTATTTTTCCTTCTTTTTGCTATAATATAATAAGTTAATTCATGCCTTTGCCTTAGTTTTGGAAGGAATTATATGCCAACATCTAGGCAACACATACATACCCTTTCTCCTAATTCAAAATAACTATGAGGTTGCACACTACAGTAGTAAATTTGTAATCAACTTAAAGATAATGTCTTAAAAGTACAATTAAACATGTCATAACAGAAGAAAACCCTGGTAATTACAAATAGCACCATGCTTGCTGGGATTTTAAACAGTGGCACAATACTAAGAAAAATCGCCACCCAGTGATGCAAATGAAAACTGCAATTTGTTTTTGTGTCAAATGAGCACCCTGGAGGATTACTTCAACTTCATTACGGAATGCATGAATAGCTATTAACCTTCTTATGTGAATAGGAGCTGGTTACAAGGGAAAGGATGTTTTTCTAGTAGGCTTTTTTCCCCTTTATTCTTATTCAGCACACTCAACATTTTACAAAGGTTAAAAGCTTTGGAAACTTTAACATGAGAAAAAGCTTTCTGTCCCAAAGTAAGCTAGTTGTATATGAACAGCCCTGTTTTTGTTGATAATATTCATATTATCAACAAAAGTGCCAAGGCTCTGCCTGGACCCTGAATTTCAAGTCATGAGGTGTTGACTTCAGTGACCCAGCAATGTCATCTAGTAACTGTGACCTCAAACCTATTTGTGTTAGGCAGGAATGCTTGCCTAGGGTAAAAGGTATTCTCAAGTGAGGAAAAAATAAATAATTTATACCTTTAACAACATAATTTACTCCAAGCTTTTTAGAAACAGGTTATAAAGGCCACATGTGATGATAATCTAACAAATTCTGTGGAATCCATGTTGATAAGAAGTTGTTGTTATAAATACAATCATGTTTCTACATCCTTATTTGATTTTATCACTTAGAAGTTAATACACACAAAATCGATAATTTATTTTCCTATAATGTATCTACTGCACATGAGGACAAAGAAAGTTATGTGGATATGTGATAACCAAAATACGTGTTTCCAAGTACGGAGCATGTTAATAAAAGCATTTTGTATCTACCATTTGATCGAATTGACATTTTCCAAAAAGTATTTTACACAGTATGCTCTGAGACTGAAGTAGATATTATATGTCAGCATAGAATCATGATTTTAAAAAGCAACTTAGCAGAACAAATCAGTTTAAAGAAAAGAGAGGTTACCATCTTATTTTTAACAACAACTATATTCTTAATAATCTGTCCTTTCATCAGTCAATTCAGTTAAGCCCATAACTGTTGAAGGCTTTTTTTTACTAAATAATGTATGCCATCTTCCAATCTCAACTTCATTAAGGAGATTATAGCTTTCTGCAGTATTTTTAATATTTAAAATATTAAATAAATAGGAAAAGTTTGGGGTAGCCAAAGTTAAAGCCAAACTTTATGAACAATAAAACAATCAACCCTCTTCTATTTAAAAACAGAAACAAATAAAAATACCCAGCATTTTCTCTTTTGAACAGTAAGGAATACAATTAACAATTTTTTTAAGGAGTTTAAACTGTCATAATATCTTAAAATTAAAAATGATAATATGACATTAAAAAAAAAGATGAATAGCTCAGTTGTTAAAAGGAGAGGCTCTGAAGTCAGACTGCCAGGGCTAATTCCAGATCTGTTGTATGTTTGCTACAGGAATTGGAAAAGCTAAGTCCTCACCTGTACTGAGATATAATACTACCTCTTCATTCACAGAATTTGTTCTAAATATTTTACTCACGTTGACTCTTAATATCCTCAATAAACCCATGGGATTGGCACTGTTATGTTCCTTTTCTAGATAAGCTAAATGACACCCAACAAACTTGCCCCAAGTGGTGAAGAAGGGTGGCAGATATACCACCCCCAATGTGCCACTTTGGCATTAGGATTATTTTTAACTGAAGCACAAGAAGAGAGCACTCTGCCCATCCTTTCTCCCTGAAAGCCGGAGATTAAACCCTCCTGGAAGATGCCCAGAAGAAAGGAACATTCTTATCGCCAGAGATGGGGAGTTGAGGCCAAAAGAACTGTACAAACAGAAACTTGTTCTAACAACTCTTACCTCCTTTGGTCTCCCCACATATTTAAGCTACTTTTCCACAATGCCTCTTTGTTCAACCCAGTATATAAGCTCCTAGGTGTTGCCACTTCTTTGGGTCTTCATTTTCCTATGGAGGCTCTCATATACAGGTAAAAATCTGCATGCTTTTCTCCTCTTAATCTGCCTTATGTCTATGTGACTCTCAGATCCAGCCAGAGACACTGACAGGGGAGAGGTCAAGTTTTGCCTCCCTCGGGATGGTAACTCTAGTAAGTTGTGGAGCCAGGATACAAGCCCAGGGGGTCTGGTTTGAACTTCACTGTAGTGCCTCTGAGATGCTCCTGTGAAGGAAGGACACAGTGTGACTGACAAAAAGAGAAAGAATACAGAGAGGAAGGAAGAGCCAAGATGTGAGCTGACTGATGCCATCAAAACTTTGGGCAAGTAACTAAACCCACAGAACAGTAGGTAGGCAAGGATTTTCCCTGGAAAACGGTGAAAGGGTAGAGCTTTGCACCTGGGGGGAAATGGGGTTTAACAGAGACAAGCGTCCGCAGATATGGGAGCTGAAGGACAAGGAGGACTCAGCTGACGTTTGGAGGACTTGTCTGGCTTGGATCATGTGAGTGAGGGTGGAGCACCCAGCTGCATTCCAACTACATCATGATCCTGGAACTGTGACGGAAGTGATTCCTCACCATGAGTGCCAGAGACACCAACACTGAAGGGGACATATGGTGCAGGGCACACCAATCATGTTCAGTCCAAGATGGTTTCAGGGAAACTCCCTCAAAATACAACATGTTAGCTTTTGGGAAAATGCACCATTAAAGTGTAGATATATCAGATGGAGCAGCTGGTACATGAGAGCATATTTGCACAATTAAGTGCTGGAAATTCTGGCAAGAATTAGCAAATGTGGAAGTTTCTGTGTCTTCTGAGATTCAATTAACGACCACTTCTTAAACCAGAGTCTTTCCTACAAGAGGAAAGGTCCACAGCAGATAAGCTTTATCTGCTAAGGCAAAATACCCTGGAAACCGGGCCTGTACTGGGTTAGTGATCTAATATCTACATGCTACAAGCTACCAGACAGTGAAGGTAACTCCAGAAAGAGCAGCACCAGGTGTTTTTTCAGTTGTGGTTAAAACTTACCTCTAAAATGCTGCAAAGTGGCAGGCGACAGAGCTATGCAGGTGAAGAAGTCTAGCGTGTCCGAAGTCCAGCTTTAGAAGTTGCGTGTGCTCTCAAAGATGTCTGTGCACTAAACTCAACCCCTTTAAGTGGCTATTTGATAACAAAAAGAATAATGTTGATTTCTAATCATGAAACAACAGAAAAGAGCAAAGTTCTCTGCATATGTAAGACTACAGAAAGGTTCTAAAATGGGGAATGCAGAACAAAGAGTGGAAAACCAGGCTTGGTTGAAGCAAATATCAGAGAGAAGATTTATTGTGAAACTCCTAAAGAAGCAGAAATTTCACAGCTTTTAAGAAACAGAAGTTGGTGTTGAGAGAGCCAGTTCTCACTTGGAAGCCAAGGCACAAATTCCTGACACAGTAGGAAGGGTCCACTTTAACCACAGCACCCCACCTTATCTCCGTCAGAAAGCTCCCCAGAAAAACTGCCAGCCTTGGTTAGATAGCCCCATTATTGTGCTTAAAGTGTAGGGGACCTGGTCAGAGAGAAAACAACTCTGGCCCCTCTAGCTACAGCCCCTGTCCCAGGCTATATGAAGCAGAGTCAGAAAAACACACAGGTCTGCCAGAACTTGATTGTGAAAAGATGGGAAATTCTACTGTAAGGTTTAGGCATGAGAGAAACTCAATTCTGGTCTCCCAGAGGTTAAAGCCAAGATATATAAGAAGGCCAGAGGGGCAAAACCCCTGTGTCCTTCCTGTGAGAGGCCAGAATCTATAGAGCTCAAGAGGCAGAGAACCATCACCCATGCTTCTGATGAGTGGCAGGGAGTGAGCCCTGGCCTAAGCTGAAAATTCAGGATCACCTAAAGAGCCATCTTCCACTTCTCCAAACATACAGAGCATTTGCCAATGCTGAGGGACCCCAGGCTGACTGGGCCAAGCAAAGGAGAGTAAGACATAGGAAACCAGAACCTGGAAAGAGAAACACTGGAGAAGCATGCCAGAGAACAACCATGCAGTGGTTCGTGCAAATCCTTTCAGAGAAGGAGCTGAACTTGGTGGGAGGAAGTCCACAGCGGAAGTGAATGTGTGCCAAATGGGGACACTGGCTTCTGGCTCCTCCTCACCACCCTTCAGGAGAGAATTTCTGAGAGGAACTAGCCAAACAGAAAATTTCTTCCTGGGGGGAAAGGCACAATGACATGCAGGAAATGTTACTTTTCCAAATTCCCCTTGGGAACAGCATAGTATTTGGTGGAAAGAAATACTTTTTTAAAGCCATTCAAATCTTAATAATTAGCAGATATTAATTTTATAACAGAAAGTAAACTAGTTTTAACAAACACTTAGGAGACAATTATTTAACATACTTAGATTTACAACTATACTTCAGGAAATACTTAATTTCAGATGCTAATTTAAGAAGCAAGCTTTGGTGCTATTTATAAAACAGAACTTGAATTTGTCAAGGAGTCTTCAAGATTTTTGGTTTTTCACATTTAAAAAGGTTGACTAGCTTATCGGGCAGAAAAAACAGGATGATTTTGCAAATGGAATTTGAAGGATACATCCAAACCAATACATAAGATGCATCTGACCTGACGACAATATTCTTAAGTGACTGATGACCTTTATTTTTAGACTTCATATATATAAAGTAATTCTAGAATCACATAATTTTCAAGTAATCTTTCAAAGGAAATACAATTCTTCTAATATAATTTTGTTGCTTAAAGAGACTCACCTAAAAGGACAAATCCATCTGCTTCTGTCTCTGGCGTTGAGGGCTTCTTAGATTCCGGAGGCTTTCTGAAGAAGTGAAACATTGCCTTTGCTGCTTCTGCAATAGAAACACCATATAATGCCAAATTCAGAGGCAACCGTAGAACGTTTCCCTCTTTGTAGAAAGCCAAATGCAAAGGTATCACAATAATTACTTTTAGTAATTCTATTCCCAGACTTAAGAACAGGAGCCTCACATGTCAGAAGACAAAGTCAGAAGTTAAGGGGTATGGACTTCCAGTTTAAAACCATGTGTGCCTTAACTCATGCAACCTTTCTCAATTTCTGAACAAACAGGAAATAACCCAAGAGATTATTCCACATGAAACTAAAATCAACAGGTAACAACAGAATCTAGAATGATCTTGCTAACCATAAATCAGACACTGGACTGAAGAAAGGGGAAAAAAAGGCCTGTCCAGGTTTCTTCTTATGCCGTAACTAGCTTAAGCCTCATAAAACTGAGGCCACCTATATAAAGAAAGAAGGCATCTCAAACATCCTCTACACTTGCTTACCTGATTCAGACACTCAAGACACTGATTTACCCACTGTAATAATGTGGTCAACTTTAAATGCCCATCAGTGCAGGATTCTTGTGTTGGTGGTCTTACTGTGTGCTGCCCCGAACACACACACACACACACACACACACACACACACACACACACACACCCCACACACCCCACACACCCCTCTCTCCTCTTCCTCCACCCATGTTTGAACATTCAGGCAGGGAAACAATTCCTGGAAAACAGCTGGGAAGCAAGGTGAAGGGACCTTGGAAGGACACATTACACTGAGGACTGTCCCTATCAGCAAAACAACGTAAGAGCAAAGAATGGACTAATCCTGGTGGCAGCAAGGGCTCCATTTTTTAGTTTTCATACATTCCACGCACACTGGAAAACCAAGCAGGAACTTCAAGTAAGGATTTTATCTAAGCAAAAGCTTTCTAGAAACGTAATTGTACTGGGATTTGTGTTGGTCAACCTGCTCTGAGCTGCAGATTCAAGTAAATAGTAAAAGAGCCTATTGGTTGACAGAAAACATATCTGGCAGATTTCACTTTTTAAAGAAATAAAAAATGGAGAAGAAAAAAAACAAGCCATGTAAAGGAAAAGGCACAGGCTCTGAAATCCTCAAAGAAGGAGCTCACTGTATATTGTGATGGATCCAAAAGAAAAGTCTGGAAATAGTTTGGCACCCTCAATAGAATACATGGCCTGTATGAAAACGGTGAAAAACAAGATTAGTTGAAAAAGAAAATGGAAAAGATGAAGAGACAAGAGTGAGATGAAAAGAAAAATAACTGATTAAGATAAAGAGAAACTTATGCAACAAAGAAATGATACCAGAAAAGAACTGGTTGGTTTATAAGCAGGAATGTATGAAAATAGAGTTGAAATTCAAAGACTTAAAAGACTGGAAGGAACTACTAAATTCTCAATCCCAAACAAATATAAAATAAAATGGAGAAAACCTCTGAAAGAACAACAGTTGACTAGAACTCAATCGTGAGTAAGGAACAAATCAGTAGTATAGTCATCAAACCTGATTAATTGGCACTTAGTAAATTCTTTCTCTTTGGATAAAATGGTTTAGGAAAAAGAAAGGAAGTGGGTAGGTCCCCAACTGAAGCCTGGTAGAGGAAAAAATAGCCCTAAATAGAGAGAGGGCACTTGTAGGGATGAAAAAGTTGAGAAAAGTAGCAAATTTGCAGGTTATATCTAGCAGAAATGGTAGGTCTAGCTATTAACACATCAAGCTGAGCAGAATGAAATAGATAAGAAACCAGCAAAATTTTGGAGAACTGTATTGCCAAAAAGACCACCAGTCTGGATTAAAAGAAAACTATGACAATTGGATTATAAAACAACCCTACAGACATGAAGCTGCCAGAGAATACTGCTCCACCCCCACAGAGGGTCTATTCTCCAGTGCTCACTTCAGGGGTAGATAAGGAAGTTACTGGAAAAGGAAAAAACTCTAAGAGGTTGGAGGCAATTGGCATGGAGACCAATGGATGGAGGGCTCTCCCAGGCAGCAGAATCAGGGCATAATTAATGAGCATTCTCCAACCCAAAATGGGGGTCCCCCCAAATGCCTGCTCAGTGGAATTTCAGAATTGCTACCACTATGTTTATCTTCCATTCCTCCCCTTTCTGAATGGCAGTAATGTTTCCCAGTTCCATTACGGGACAAAAGGGACAGGCTACTGGTCTTTTTATTGCATGAAGTCTCCAGACGGAGAAGTGCCACCTCTGGACCTGACAGAGAGATGAACTTTGTGCGTGATGCTGTGACTGAATGGAGAGATATGCGTTACTGCCCTTGGGGAAGGGTGAGTTATTTTGCCATGGTAGGAAGAGAGAGCTGAGTATATGGTGACTGCAAATGAGAACCACAGAATCACTAGGGCTGCTCACTGACTCTCTGCCCGTATGATACACCATGACTGTAGTTTTCTATCCTCCTTGCAGGTAGGTATGGCCATGTGGCTTAGTTCACTGTATCACATGGCATTAGAATGCTGTAACAAGGAGCTTTGGGGACACAGAAAAAGAGAGGCCCTTTAAAAAGTGGTTCCTGTTCTAATACATAAAGAAAGCTTTTTAATAGAACTTCTTGAATTCCCAGTACTTTTTCTTGTCTGGCAACCAAATGGAAATGGAACAAATGTGGAAATCACAAAGGTGGCTCTGATAAGTCATTCTCGAAAGTTTAGTTATGTTGTTATGTTGTTCTGAAAGCCAGAACAAACCCAGCTATAGTGCAAGAATCTCTTTTTAATACAAGTATTTTGTACAGAATTTATAACTTAAGTAATTAACAGAAGCATTTAAGTTTTTCATGACTTAAAACATCGAACTTAAATAATATACAGGCTGCAGCAACTGATCATATGACTTATTGGCAATGCATAATATTACAATCCATTATTTTAGATCATAAAACTCCAAAGTATTTAGAAAAGGAGGGATAATTTAGGTTTCAAGAGTCAAGAAACTTCCAGGAATGGAAGAAATGGGCCAGGAATAAGGGAAAGGGAACAGAAACGGTGCAAGAAAACTCGGAGCAGCAGCAAAAGCTAGTTTACTACAAATCCATTGGAAACAGCTCTAAAATTGTTACATAACTACCAGTCACCCTCACACCTATCATTCTGCCAACCTAACCACCACCTTAATTAACTCCTTCCTCTATAATAGTCCACCTCAAGATGTCTCTATAGGAATATGTTTCCAATTTTACAATACAAGAAAGACTTCCCTTGTATGATCAATACCGCTGCTGACATTAATGATTCATTCCACTAGGTGCCTACCTAATGGTAAGTTTCACCATCTATCTTTATAATAAATCACTCCATGCATGAAAAGACTATGTCCCAAGACACTAAAATCTATAACAAAATTGTCTTTATCCCATTGATACTTTTTCATATCACTGAAAAAAAACAGTGGTATAAAAATTTATCCTGGCAAATACTTCTAAGATATCCCCTCTATGAGCAACTTGCCATGGGAAAGCTTCATATTTAGGTCACCACTCCAGCATCCACATTTAGTTACCCTGCCTAAGATGAGAAAGTGGGAAGGAGTGGGGATTTACTATAACCCCACTAACATCTGCTGAGCTCCTACAATGTGTCAGACACCATACAAAATGCTCTGTATACTCTATCTCTACAATCAGGTACATACAATAATTGACAATGGGCAAGTGAAAGAATTGAAGTAAAGTAGGTTAAGTGTTGCTCAGAGTTTATGTGAATCCTTAGTAGCAGAGCTAGAATTTTAAAGCAAGTCCCTCTGGCACCTAAACTGAGTGATTTTAATCAACAAAGCACCAGAGACAAGGAGCCCCTAACACTTAATTACATTTGTATTGGACTTTAATATAATATTCCCCAATATTAGTCAAATACATCTAATTAATTCTCTGTCTTTATCAATCCCTATTTCCCAAGCCTTGCTCAGCTCTATGCTGTAAAGAAATTTACTAATTGCACAACATCTATGTTCAAGACCTTCACTTACTTTGTATTTTTATCTTACAAACATTTACTAAGTGCTTTGGCTGGACAGTGCCCAAGCACTACAAATGCAGCACTCAACTTATATTTGAGGGAACAAACTAGAACCTAAACCTAGCGAATTTCTGAGGCAGTCCTCAGCAAAATGGTATTTTAAGAGCTCAGTTCCCAAAGTGAAGGAGACCTGTAATTGGCCTGCTGTCCCAAGCAAGCCCAGTATCCCGTAACCCTTCACGCTTCTGAGGCACATGGTCTTGACAGCTGTGCCTCCTCTGCTTGGAATTCCCAAACATGTTCCAGTCTCACTGCCTTCTTTACAATTTTCAGTATTTTTTGAGTTGTCTATAATGAGCAAATTTTATATCTATAAACAGGGAAAAATACCAAAATTTCTTCTTAAAAAATCCATTATTAGTTAGCAGCAACACTCTTCCTTGGCTGAGCTGGGACCCAACCCAGAATGCCTCCCAATTCTAAATCATGGGACTTTTGGAGCTGCCACAATATAAAAAGGTGGATGAAGAATTTACCTGCCCAAACCACAGGCTGGGAGAAAATACTTGCAAATTGCATATTTGATGAAGGACTATAAAATATAAAGAACTCTTAAAACTCAATAAGAACACAACTCAATAAAAACAAGTCAAAATATGAAACACACATTTCACCAAAGAAGGTATGTAGATGGCAAACAATCGAATGGGAAGATGTTCAACAATATCTGTCAATAGGCAAATGTAAATTAAAATCTCAGTGAGATACCACTACATACCAATTAAAATATTTAAAATTTAAAAGGCTTGCCATGCCACGTGTTAGCAAAAATGTGGAGCACCTGAAATTCTTGACCACTGTAATAGGTGTGTAATACAGTTCAACCACTATGGATAACAGTTTGGCAGTTTCTTAAAAATGTAAACATATACCTATGATATGGCCCAGAACTTCTCCTTCTAGGTATTTAACTAAGAAAAATGAAAGCATATGTCCACACTTGTACACAAATGCCATACAACATT